ATTTAAAGGGACACTGTCAATGGCACGCATGCGCGAGTAAACTTGAAAACATTAGGCTAATGTTTTCAAGTTTATGACTCCAAGTTGGCGCGACATAAATCAGCTCGTAAACGTAAACAGATCTAGAATATTCCAAAGTGTGTCAAAAGCACCACAAAATGATTTTCCTCGAAGGTAATACTTTCAAAGTCCGTTAGAGGTGAGACTGTTACTGCGCATGTCATCCATTGACAGTGTCCCTTTAAATTCTTAGCTTCCGGTGGTCCAAACGCCACATGACACATAGATAGATTGATTAAAAGGTAAATTTCAAGTCGACCTAGCCTTCGGCTAGTCCGACTAAAAATCGCATTCCATTCGTTATTTTATTCTCTGTTCCCTCTAAATGTCCTTTTCGTTTCCTACTTTTGTGTTTGTATTCATATTAGGATTTTCGTTATTCAATTCATGCTTTTATTTCATTAGGAATGAAAAAATACCAATAGACCAAAATGGCTGACACTGATATAACTTTAAACTTCCTATACAACCTTCAAGATCTAGAAAAGTAAACGACGTGCGGAGAAAACTAAGTGCTAACTAATATCATCAAAAGTTCTCTTTCGACTTTCAGCTGGTTTCTCTACAATACTCTCGCATTGTGACTCAGTAGACWCGTCGTGGCCATTGCGCTTCGCATTTGAGTCATCCGGTGGTTCCCATGAGTCACGAATTCCACTAAACTATGGATGAACAAATAATCTGTTATTTTGAATTGTTTCAAGGGTAAGTGCGAAGGCCGGTCCAATACAAGAAAAAGGTGTGGTCAGCGTCCACCCTAAAACAGCCATAGCAACCATTTTTTTTTTTCAACAATATGTGGAGTGCCTCGATCTGCCGGCTAACACTTTGTATTTTCTATTTTTTTTGCCTTTTTGGTGCACTCACGATGTTTTCCTGCCTATTTTTCTAGCTTCAAAAACTGAAGTGACATTGACAAAGCAAAAACTGAAGTGACATTGACAAAGCAAGAGCAACGTGTTTTGTTTTGTTTCCTTATTGTTGTCATTTCTATTCACTTGTTGTTTATTGTTTCGATATTGTTGCAGCTACTACGAACTGACAAGCACAATCAGGACCAGTATTGGTGATAAAACAGATAAAAGCCTGCAATTATTATTTCTTTTACATTTCCTACATTATAAGGCAAAACATAATACAGTACATATAATGAACCACTTACAGTAACTTGAAAGGGAACAGTCATTTCTTGTTTCGTTGGTGATTTGTACAAAGTTGCCAGTCTGT